AATCAACAAATGGCATGGGTTAAAATTTTGTGTTCCCTCCTGTTAATTTTTGTGTTCCCAGAACGGTCCCACCTGTTCAATTTCTATCTAAAAGAAGAGAGTACCATCAAACATCAGATATTAATTTGTTAAAATAAATACTTCTTCATTGTCAATGTTTTCTTTATTGTTGACTTCATCATCATTAATTACTGACAATGGTTTACTAAACAAATACAAGAAACTCAAAGTTTTAGTCTTCAAATACATAAGCAATTGACTCAAAAAATTCTTTTTAATAAAAACCAGAGTGATGGCAACAATGGCAGCAGTTGCATACCACCACCACCACCACCGAAATCACCACAACCATTCTTTTTAAACTGCCATCCTTATCCAGTGATATCTGCTACTTCTTTTCCTTTGGTTCTTTGATTATTCTTTCTTTTTTGTGGCATCTTTTAAAATTCTTTGAAAAATGAAAGTTTGTTATATGATCGACATGTACACACTAACTATTTATCCTATTGGTTTTTTTTGGTAGGACAGACACAAATTGTTTTTTTTTTCTTTCTTTTTGGAAAAACAATTTATTGTTTGACAGAGTCCAAGGTGACAAAACGTGAGTGTTGTTTGGTTTGGGTCTCCTAAAGAAGAAGTGTTAATAACTAACCAGAGGTACTATTTTTTATTTGTATTGATATTTTTATTTTAGTTTATGAATATATATTATTGGAATCAAAATGCAGAGCAGATCATTGCTGGGTAATTACAAGATTTTTATTGATAATATTTTACTTTTCGTAATCAATAATAATAATATTATAAATATTATAATCACAAGATGTCAAGGCAGCACACTGTTACAGAAGAAACATTTTGAATATGTGACGTTTGATTATTGGAAATTGGCAAACGTTGAAGCACGCACACTACCTTGAACACTTTACAGTCATTCTCACATGTTCCTCATGTACATAAGGCTAATCTGACTTGATCGCCTGAAGATACAATGATGCAGTTGAATTCCAGGGGGAAGCATGGCCCTGGAGTTTACCAAGACTGCATCAATTGTCAATGACGTTTTCACTAATCCTCCCAGACCAGAGATGGCTGCTGGCATGCTAGCCAAAAAGTTGCCTGCAACAACCCTACCTCTAGGGTAAGGATGGCTCTGTGTCCAAGTTGCAACTCTGCTGATGAATTGTAGTTCCATGTAAATATCCAGACCCATCAAAGCAATGAGAATCTGCAACTTGTACCAAGCTCAGGAGGTCACAATTCAGAGCAGGGTTGGTGGCCCTGAAATTGCATTTGGGCTCTGATGCTAAGAGTAAAGTTGTAAAATAGTGTTTGTTTTGTATAATCATTTTCGTAAATGCTCTGTTTAACCAATTTATAATTTTGGGATGGTTTTTGCTCAATAAGTTCTCTGTCCTGTAGGTTAAAATTATCACATGATTATGTGGGTTGTACAAAAAGTTTTGAGAAAATACATGTAACTTGATGATCTTTTCTTTAATAAAAGTAAAAATGGGAATAAAAAACCCTTAAGCCACAATCTTTTAAATAAAAAAAAAATCATTCAAATTGAGTCATTTGTTGTTAAGTTATAAATTTTTAAAGTTTGCCAGTAGAAACAAATGGAAAAT